AGGGAAGTTCTTTGGTGCCTTGGATGTCTCCCTCACTGGAGATCGGAGCACTTTCCTGGGCCATGTTCTCTTCTTCCCTGTTTGGACCCGTCTCGGTGTCAGCCTGGGCACCTGCCATATCTGCAAGAGCACAGGCTGGAGCGAGTGATTCTGAGGGTTGCACTTGAGTATTCTCAGGAGGAGTCCTACTTCTCCGCTTCCGAGTTACTCGGACTAGCCTCTCCTGAGTCTTCCTCCACAGCAGGTGAAAGGCTGGGAAGTCTCGTCCAATTAGGACAGGAACGGGTAGGAATCAACCACACACGCCTCTGTGAGTATGGTTCCCGGATAGTGGTCATTGTGAGTTCAGTCTCTGGTGTCTCCATGGACACAGGAAACTGGGAGGACTTTCCCTGGGGTCAGACACGATGGACCCACCAGGTCCTGACTAGGGCTGTCGCAATATGCGATAAAATGACATATCGCACACTATCTGAAATCGCGTGCAATCATTTTTGGTGCTGCAATTTTACATATAAATGAACATTTAAGGTGATCGCGCTGCCAGTTAGACAGCGCGCACACAAACACAGAGCGGACACCGACAGGTTAGTTGGGTTCACAAGAGAAGCAGTGAACCCAACTAAGCTAACTAAACTAAAATCTCCCCTAAAACAACAACCATCCGCCCGTCTTTCAACCTGAACTACTGTCGGTTCCTCTGGACTGCTCGTTTGCCTCTCGTTTGTACTTTTATTACTATGCTATTATATTGTCGAAGTTCGTGCATCTGCGCAGAAGGAGGCTGGTCTGGTTGGAAGGTCCAGCTGTGGAAGCGCTGGGCCATACCAAACTTGGTGAGCCCATTTCTGCTGAGGATCTCCGTCTTCAGGACATCATAGTCAGTCACCTGGTCGGGGCCCAGCTCCCGCACAGCATTCAGCGCCTCCCACTGTTCCCTGGGCCAGGCTTCCCTAGTGGCCGTGGCTTCAAAGGCATGCAGGAACGCCTCAACGTCATCTGTGGCCCCCATCTTGGATATAAAGTCACTCGCCTCTATTGGGCGGACATTCCGGGGCATCGGTTTCTGCAGCTGCAATTCCTCTGCCTTCAGAAGGTTGGCTTTCTTTTGCTCCTCCAAAAGCCACATTCTGTTGCCTCTGGGCTTGCTGGCCAGCAATAATGGTTTTCAAAATATCCTCCATTTTGTTAGGTGGGGGCCTACGGTCAATTTGAAAAAGTGGAGAATCAAACTTTCAGTGTCCTCCTCTGACATGCACTATTACCGCTTGAACAATGCCTGCATCCTCCACCATATGTGACGTCACGAGAGGCTACTGTACAGCTCTCAGCAGGACAGTTCAACTAGTGCGAGGATACCAGGATCAAATATAAACAAGGATTTTATTAAAGTTCTCGGGAATTCACAGAAAACAGCGGCCCAAATTCAAAAGTGAACCTAAGGCTCAGGTTGATCTTCAGCCGTCAAAACTTAAACAAAGCCTCTTCTTGGTGGTGAAATCATAATTCCGATTCCCTCAGGTAAGTAAACAGTTTTTTAGTCTTATGGGAATGGAGCGCCCTTCCAGGACACAGCCTCTCGTGACATCACAATATATATATATATATATATATATATATATATATATGATATATATATATATATATGATATATATATATATATATATATATGATATTATATATGATATATTATATATATATATGATATATTATATATATATATATATATATATATTTCTCTGGTCTGATGAAACAAATATTGAACTCTTTGGCCTGAATGCCAAGCGTCATGTCTGGAGGAAACCAGGCACTGCTCATCATCATGAAGCATGGTGGTGGCAGCATCATGCTGTGGGGATGTTTTTCAGCGGGAGGAACTGGGAGACTAGTCAGGATTAAGGGAAAGATGAATGCAGCAATGTACAGAGACATCCTCGATGAAAACATGCTCCAAAGCGCTCTGGACCTCAGACTGGGACAATAGGACAACGACCCGAAGCACACAGCCAAGATAACAAAGGAGTGGCTTCGGCTCAACTCTGTGAATGTCCTTGAGTGGCCCAGCCAGAGCCCTGACTTGAACCCGATTGAACATCTATGGAGAGATCTGAAATTGGCTGTGCACCGACGCTCCTCCTTCAACCTGATGGAACTTGAGAGCTTCTGCAAAGAAGAATGGGAGAAACTGCCCAGAAATAGGTGTGCCACGCTTGTGGAATCATACCCAAGAAGACTTGAGGCTGTAATTGCTTCAACAAAGTATTGAGCAAAGGCTGGGAATACTTATGTACATGTTATGTTTTCGTTCTTTATTTTTAACATATTTGCAAAAATTTGCAAAAAACAGTTTTCACTTTGTCATTATGGGTTGTTGTGTGTAGAATGTTGAGGAAAATAATGAATTTAATCAATCTTGGAATAAGGCTGTAACATAACAAAATGTGGAAAAAGTGAAGTGCTATGAATACTTTCCGGATGCACTGTATGTTTCTTATGTTGGCACAATGCATTCAACAGCATAATTACAGTATTTTGCTGTTAGTAATAACAACCTGTTGACCGCGATCAGCCACTGTAAGAAGGAAAGATACACTATATGTACCTCCCTGTGTGTATTTGCATCCCTGTCTGTGTGCCATGGGTTTAAAGTGTAATGTAAGTCGCTTTGGATAAAGCGACAGGTCATTTAGCGTCTGCTAAATCAGGTCATTTAGCGTCTGCTAAATGACCTGTAATGTAATGTAATGTGTGTCTCAGGGAGACTACTCATGGGAGCATACAGTGTCACCGCTGGTATTTTACTCAGAGAATGCATTAATAATGTGCTGATATTCAACTCTTCTTGTTTTTCCACCAAATCTATGCACATGAGATGGATCTGTGGCCTACTCTTTCTGCCGTTTTTTGCAAAATCTTCACATACCTTGGGGTTCTGCTCTGGGTTATCAGCTACTTAAAAGGGACACATTTTCCAGACTCATCCTCCTACTACCGCTCGCTTCCACTGTGTTCTGTTGACCAGGTGACTTGAAATAAGGTCTTTGCTATCGCCTGAAATTTAAAATGAAACAGCTAAGGAAGCGGATGCACTAGAAGTGTAGTAATTTAAATGTCACTCGGCTCCATAGTATCATGTACTGTGACCCGGAACAGTCAGCTCACATAGATAGTATACTAAAGTTTTTTTTTCAGATGTTTTTCTTGTCAACAAATCCTGACTACAAAGAAAAAACTAATTAATTATTAGGAGAAGCATCTGAAGCCTATTCTATGTTGCACTATTTTTGTTGCTATATATTTGACAACTTTCTATATATTACCTCAGAAGTGCCGAGCCAAGTCCATCATGGTTTGATTCTTTTGTGTAAAATAGTGCTGGGTGATAGTGTACAGTACGTTTACCAGAGCTTTATTTTTTTGCTGAATACAATTCAATTGTGTGCTGCTGGTCAAAAACAATTTAAGACAGCTGTGAGATATGAAGGCAAATCACTGTCAAAATCCAACTACAACCCTAATTTACCATCATTTTATTAATACGGATCAATCTTTGGAAAATCAAAATGATGTGATAAAGTCAAAATTATGAGATAAGACATGCACAGGCTCCTTTATAGTTTGGTAAAGTTGGCAAGATATTCACAGATTCAGACTTCATTTTACCAATACGGACGTATTGGTAAAATGAAGTCTGCGAACTGGTCTTAACCTCTAGAACCAATTTTTTAGGCCTCTCCTCACAATTTGCATTCCCATTTTTTAAAAGAGTATCTCTGCAACTGTACGGTCTATTTGAATAAATTGATGTAATAGAAGGGAACATCTATAAGATTTGTTCAGATGTGTAACTGGCTATTACGGCCTGCCTATCGTGCCTAGGGGTGCACAGGCGTAACACACAAATGTAGACAAAAGGTAGCCTTGGCAAAGGTGGAACAACGGAAATAAACAAGGTGTGAGCAAGGTTAGAACAACAGTGAATACAATTTATTGTCAAAGACTTATCACAACAGTCGAAAACTGAAACGGAAGCCATAAAGGCATTAGGGTCTCAAAGGCCAAAACAATAAACAAAAACCCCACCCTAGCTAGAAAACAAAGTCTTTCTGGCCTACCGTATAAAAAGAAAAACAATATTGACCTCCCTCAATCCACAAAATAGGAGAAAAAATAGAAACAGAAATATCAGAAAATCCTTACACGCTTCCACTATACCCTGAGGTATGCTGATATTAGGAAGAAAAGAGAAAAAAACAAAACACCGAGAGCACTGGGTCAGGGCGCCTTTATCTAGTTATCAGGTGGCGCTGCTCCAGGTGAATCACCTGAGAGATCCCCCCCCCCCCCCCCCCCTTCTCAGGAGGGGGCGGAGTCACGTCATGGGACATAACACTGGCTAAGAATAAATGAAAATGGCACACAGCAAAAATAAAAAGTTTCAGGTTTAAAAAAAAAAAAAAAAACTTTCAGGATGGTTACCCCTTTGGAATGATGCATTTGCACTTTGAAGCCTCTCCCCAATCATAGCCAATCAGTGCCCTAGTGGAGGGCAATGTTTTTACAATTCAAAAATAGCAATCGAAAAAGAAAGCAACATTGACATAATTTACATTCAGCCAGTTTATGTAATGAATCGCAGTGGTACATTTCGATCAATAGCTTGTAGCCCGTACTGTCAAGACATCCATGGCATTTGTTTGTTTTTCAGTGAAGTTAGACTTCTAAATTACATTAGTTATTCTTCTTCAGATGTTTCTGGAAGTTACCGTATAGAGTGGAGATTATATCCCAATACAACTCCCTAGTAATGAGCGTAAACATGCCCATTCATTTTATGGCTTGAATCAACAACGATTTAGGGAAATATGGTTAGGGGTCTTGGACATTTGAGTCACAATCAATTTTGACATTGACCTTTTCAGCCTCTGTATTTGAATGTGTTGATATGTGATTCTCAGCTCTCCCTCTACTCACCTTATTGATGTCTTAATAATTTCAGGGAGTTCAGTCACTGGAAGGTGAACAGCCCGGCAACAGAGAAGAGAGAATTCCTCAAACCTCCGCTGCCCTTAGCGCCTGAGTTCCTGCGCAACCTGCGGTTACTGGGGCGAAGACCGACCCTGCAGCAAATCAACGAGAACCTCATCAAGAAGTATGGGACCCACTTTCTCGTCTCCGCTACCCTGGGAGGTGAGGTGACAAACTTGGATTCATTCTAGGGGTTAGGAAAAGGTTGGAATGCCCGAAAAATAGGGGCTGGTTATTCTACTTCTCTGAAGAATTATAGCCATTGTAAGTGAACTGCTGCAGAACTGTGGGATCCCTCTGCTCGTTGTTATTTTTTTTCAAAGGAAAGCTGCAACATTACAACATTGCAGCATTCAACTGAGGCCATTTTCCTTTTATTCTTTCCTCTGATGTACATTGCGCACAGCAAGAGCCACAAAGCAAAAGAGGGATTGACTCCTTTCTCAGCATATTCTCAGCAGCATATATCTCTCTTTATTTGATTCCTTTTCAGCCCTGACCACTGAGGACAAAAGTAACTCACAAAACGGCATTGCCAGTTGTATTGATTGTATGCCCCCCACCAAACAGGACAGAGACCTTTTTTGGTGTTCAAAGTGACTATGTCAGGTTAAAGTATTAATACACAGCTGCTACTGATTATCCCATATAAAAGCCCAGTTGCATCAGGTACAGACTTTACGGTCGGCTGTGGTTTGTTTTTTTAGAAAGGAAAATTCTGGTGAGTACAAACATTTCAGCATCACAAAGCACCATGTGAATGACTAGGCTGCTAACACAGCACTGTCTGCTTTGGGTGTTGTCTATTTTTTCTTTGGTAGTTGATCGTGACATTCATACACTGTTCTGTTTTCACACAGTTGCCTAACAATCCCTCTATTTTCATGAGTGATGTGTATGTTGAAAAAATCACCCCAGCCTCCCAATTGTGGCCTCACTTCTCACTGGATGTATGCAGTGTAGCATCCGTGTGGGTGAAAGAGGATAGAGATGAATGCAGCTCCAGACTGATAGTTTGATTCTATATGTAATAAACGTCGTCAAAGGTCGTCACCTGCTACTCTTTAAAAAGATAAACAGGAGAGTAACAGAGTAATGTAAATTCATATTTTGACAGTTACTGATCATAGTAATTTTGAAGCATCAGTGTCATGGTCATTTTTTCATCTATAGCCATCTTTTGGATTATGATGCAAGATAGTTAGCAAGTAGTGTACATGTCTTGAATATAATGTTGTTCCATTGTGGAAGGTTCTGATAATAAAATTTGATAAATATTTGCTCAACTTATGGGAGAGTGTGCACTTTATATTTAATAAGCGTTTCAGACAGTGCTTTTAACACAATTCTAGCTAACCTGTTAAATAACAGATACAGGATTGTTCAAGAAAAGAATCAATATTTCCACCCAACTCATGGGTGATTTTAACACTAGCTTGGTTTCATGAGGAACATACTAATCTTCATATTTGATCCTCATCTTTGTAAAAAAACACAACAGAAAAAGCTAAATGATTTTCTCCTATAAATCTTCATCAATTAGCCACAAGGATTGTATGCACGGTGGTGTCCCAGGTTAGATGGGCGTTCTGTCAGCAGTTTGCATATTGTCATCCTAACAACCTGAGTTTTCTGGCTCCCTCACATAGTCCACCGACTCATTACTCTTAATGCCGTGGGTTTTGGTGGGTCTGATAAAAGCGAGCAAATCTGCATCACATAAACCACAGTTGGACAGTTTTGCCAAGGAAATGTCCAAAGCTGAATGTCTACATGTATTGGAAATGACCCTCATATATTCTCATATATTCCAAAAAATATATATATTTATATATATATATAATATAATATATTTACTGATCAATTATTGTTCCGCAGGAGAGGAGTCTTTGACAATTTTCCTGGACAAGCAGAAGCTGAACAAGAAGTCGGAGGGTAACAGCAACACCTCAGTAGTGTCTCTGGAGCTGCTCCATCAGCTGGCCGCTTCTTACTTCACAGATCGAGAGAGCACCCTGAGGCGACTCCACCACCTACAGATTGCCACCTCTGCCATTAAGGTACTGCACACATGCATGCCGCGAGTGACTTCATGCAGACATTAGCAATCCTATGCCTTGCGGATGTAGCGCTCCGTGCCTGCTCCCCTCGCTCTCAAGGTATGCACACAATCATCATCATCGCTGAAAAGCGTGGGTTTACTTTTTTGCGTTTTCATTTTAAGCTTTCTTTAAAATCCCAGTTGGGGGCGGGACTTTATGCATACTGTACTCGACTGTATGTCATCTGGACGGAGTAACAGGCTGGTGTGCTTATGGGGGTTAAAACATTTTAGATGCAGTTAGCATCTAGCTTTATTTGCATACATAATTTTACTGTGGTTACATTGATGTATATATATAATATATATATGTATATATATATGTAAATATATATATATGGCTGAGCTTGATTTGTAATATATATATATATGTACTCAATGTAACCACAGTAAAATTATGCATGCAAATAAATCTAGATGCTAACTGCATCTAAAATGAGCAGCGGCTCTACTCTGAGCTCCACACGAATGGCTGAGCTTCTCACCCTATCTCTAAGGGAGACGCCAGCCACTCCTGAGGAAACCCATTTTGGCCACTTGTACCCGTGACCTAGTTCTTACGGTCATGACCCATCCTTCATGACCATAGGTGAGGGTAGGAACAAAGATTGACCGGTAGATGGAGAGCTTTGCCTTCTGGCTCAGCTCTCTTTTTGAATCGGCGCAGCGGGGGCGTTCCCCTCACTCGTGAACAAGCCCCGAGGTACTTGAACTCCTTCACTTGCGGTAAGGACCCATTCCCTACCTGGACTAACGTGTTAATGTATGCGATTAATGTGGTTGAGATTAATGCAATAAAATATTTTTAATTATGTTCTTCCGGCATGCTGGTAAACTTTGTTTACCAAAGTTGACCCTGGAAAGGAAACCACCGCTAGCTGCAGTCAATTAGATCGGAGACAGCTTTTTACATTGGAAGTGCGGCGCGACAACGGAGAACTATGCAGAGGAATTCCATCACGTGTCAAGCAGAAGGGGGCTGAGTGGAAAACAAACCACTTTGGGCACCGCTAGGATAAGTTAGCTGCCAGGCTACTTCCATCTCAACATCTACCTTGTAAAGCTGCACCACTGTGCTAAAAAAATGAAAACAAAATTGTAATCGCGATTAATGTATTTCAAAATGTGAGATTAATTAGTTCCTTGTAATCTCACGTAATAATAATAATATTATAGCCTAATAGTGAGTGTGGCCAGCGCAGCTGAGTGCACTAGCATGATGCCAACATGCCGCTAGCTAGCATTACACTAGTATTAACAGGACCTAAATGCTGACAAGTGGCTAAAACAGCCAGAGTAAAATGGGTCATGTCTTTAGTTTGCTAGCTAGCCTCTGTGGCTAGTCTTCACTTGTCTGCTTGGCCGTTTCATGCACAGGCACCTGCGGGCAGTCTAGGCCACACTGTTAAAATTACTGCGGAATTTTCTAGTTGAGTGTGGCCAGCGAAGCTGAGCCAAACTCCTTATAATATCACATACTTATTATTATTGAGTGTGGCCAGCGAAGCTGAGGCAAATCTTACATACTTCTTCTGTATTATTCTAATTCCGTACGGAAGTTTGGCACGCATCTCCTCCCGCACCGTTGATTGGAATTGTCTCAAAATAGTGTGCTTAAAATGACTGTGGAATTTTCTAGTTTGCTAACACAATTGTGTTTTCCAACACGCACAGCTAGGCTTTGCCCTTGTCAGAAGTTAAAATGTTGGATTTGATGACTAATGGACATTGAACAAGTTTTGAAGGTAAATTCTTATGTTGTATTGCCAGACACAATTCGACAAACAACATAAATGATCACTGTCTTATAGTTTGTGTTTACTGACAAAGCTCAAAAAATGCATTATGATTGACTTGTCAAAGCATGACCAAGAGTGTCTATTTTGGCTAGAGACTGTTTTTCATCTTAGACGCTGACACCTCTGCAAGAACAAATCATATATAATTCAAAGTTTGTTCCCGCTTCAACTAGGCATACAGGCATACAAATACCTTCTTCTCAAGTTTAACTTTTTTTTTGGTATACAATTGGGCCAGATTTTGTTCTCACTTCAAACACCATGGTTCTCTTACTTTGTTTTTGTCCAATAGTGCGATTAAAGGCTTACAAATTATCCAGATGAATCCAGAGTTGGATTTATATATAAATGTTGGCTTGTCAAAGCGCCAAAAACTTTTGCTCATTTAGCAACAGACATGGCAAACTGTTTCAGGCTATAAATACCATTACATTTAAATTGATACAGTCATGCTATTAAAGTAAAGTTTCTACACCATCTCACAAATATACCTGCAATGCTTTTAACATTTAGTTTATATAAGAACGTGGTTCTTTTGCAGTTCCTCATTTAGTTTTTTACCTGTTGTTGTTTTCAAGGTAAGAAAACAACAACTTGAAGGTTGCTCTGCATCACGTTTTTTGTGTGTTTATGTCTGAAAGTCGACAAAAAAGGACGTGACAAAGGAGGAAATGCTCTAAAAGGCATGCTGGGATATCTCTTTAACAGATTCAGAGGAACACCGGCTGTCAGCAGCGTGGACACACCAATCTTTTTTTAAAAGAGAGAAGGAAGCCTTCTACTTCAGCCCACCTTGTATTTCTAGCAGTTTTGCAACATGCAAACAAGCACAACAGAAGGGAAGAGAAGCACAGCTAGAAGTACCATCTGCCAACAAGGAGAACAACACACTGATAACAGCCAGAGCTCAAGCCCCCGAGAGAAAGGAAAAGATAAACCATAAAAGCAACCTAAATCTTAAAACCAACAACAAACAACAAACTTTGTCACGAAAAGAACTGCGTTTTTTGTTAGAGAGGCACTGCGGAATGCAGCGGGTTTGAGTTTTATTGTCGTCCATAGTGAAACCTTGTCTGAGTCAAAAAGGTAATTTTGAACAGATCATGGAAATAGAATTAGTTATCAGGAATCAGGAAACATTTATTGCCATAACATGTCAGACATAGAAGGAATTTGACTTGGCGGTTGGTGCATAACAGCAGACAGAAAGACCAATGGACGACAAGACAACAGTGCAAGAGGAATAAAATAAAATATAATGCTATGGGTTAGTAATATAAGATTATGGGTTAGTATATATTATATATATATATATAAATAAAGGAATAAAAGTTAAAAAAAATGTTTTACAAGTGACAAGTGAAAGTGACGTGTGCAGTGTGAAATAAAATTACCTGTGGAATGTCCAAGTCAGTCAGTGGGGGACCGGGCTCTGTTGATGAGCCCTACTGCCGACGGGAAGAAACTTTTCGTGTGGTGGGAGATCTTAGTCCTGATGGACCTCAGCCACCTGCCAGATGGAAGGGGCACAAACAGTTATTGTCCGGGGTGAGAGGGGTCAGCTACGATCTTTTTAGCTCGCTACAGGGTCCTAGAGCAAACACGTTCTGGAGAGACGGCAGATTGCAGCCGATCACGCTCTCTTTTATAATCCCTGAGCATCATGGCCAACATGAGAGCACAGAAAAGTCAAAACTGACAGCACAAATGAATGAAGACGTGAACAACGTCCAGCTTTAATAACTCTTGACTGAAGACCAAGACTAAAGCCTGAAAGTACTGTTGTTTTGTTATAAGACGAGAACTGTTATAATATTCCTTTTAAAATATGCAAATGTTTTTGAAACAAGATAGTTAGGGTCCGGCTGTGATGTGTTTCACAGACAGAGATGGTTGGAAACCAGTTTCCTATGCTGAGCATACAATAAAACATATGTGCACATAGACTCAGAAATATCTTTACTTTGCCTTATTTTGCTTATGGGCATTAACGATTCAATGTCACGTTAACATATGACAAAACTAAATAAAACTGATATGACTAAAAACGCACCTATGAACCTAATATGTCAATGTTGAGCGATATGAAGCAGCTTCCCTCCTTCAAGACAGGTAAATAGTCCCATTTTCCAGCACTTGCATTGCAAACACCCAGTGATTTTGCACTACCGCCTACATGCACACACATTCAAGTGCACAAACACCTCCACTCCAACTTTAGAGACGGGCATCCTTTGCATGTGTCTGCTAAATGAGAATATCTGCTACGAGCCACCTGGCACGTCCGTGTACTGCCAGATCAACTCATCACCAAGAGGAAAGCGACACTGAGTGGGATGTACTTGACCTGTTGTCCATATACGCCTCTGGGCTCTGTGACGCTGCAGCACCGCGTAGGAGGTGGGAGCGAAATACACTATCTTTATCCCTGGTATTAATGTGCAAGTTCCCGGAGTCACGCATCTAGTTGAGTGTTTAGTTTTGTAAAAAAGTCTCTGTAACGCCTTTGAAATTTGAAAAGAGTGGCTGCCTGTTTTGGTGCAAACATTGTATCTATATCTTAACACCGCGGTTTTCACAAGCAAAAATTCAATTCATTCATTTTATATAGGGAGAGAAAGCACTTTAACAAAGACTTTATGAAAGAAGCAAAGTCAGTGAAGTTGGTTTATGATGACAGTAAAAGTAATGTGACCAATAGTAATAATAGAGCAGGTGTCCGCAGGGCCATGGCAATAGGCAGGACCAGGGACCAGATAGAACCCCAATCTATGAAAACCTGCGAGGTGGGAAAGCACAAATACTGGAAGTGTCACGGGATGCGGGTGGTCAAAAAATCCAAAAGGCCAAGGGGCAAAAACACACAGGCATGCAACTACGGATACCCACAACAAGGGACACGGACATGCGTGGCGAAAGACAATGACGCGACAAGTGACACAAGAGACACACGGCTTAAATACACAAGGGAGGTGCAGGTGATTGGACACAGGTGGAAACTATTAGACAATCACAGGGGATGACGGGACAAGGCAGGAAGTGAAGTTACCAGGGGACACGAGTCCCCTGGTACAAAATACAACATGAAGTGAACCACACCGTGACAGTACCCCCCCCCCTTAAGGGCCGAATTCCAGACGGCCAACACTAGAGCGAACAAGGGGTGGGGGGGCAGGGAAACCAGAGACGTTGGTCGGACCACCCGGGAAACTCTGGCGGGCGGCCAGACGAGCGGGGAGCCTCTGGGGGTCGGCCCGGCGGGCGGTCACCAAGCTGGCTCCGGAGCGGGGAGCAGAGGCACTGTACGTCTTTAAAATGCCAGGTTTGGAAAACACGAAAACACTCTGTGTTTTTCGGATCCGGTCGAGAGAAACGGAATTCCTTCGCCCTCGGCTTCTGGGTACACGGAAACACTTCCGCGTTGGGTCCCGGCTAGAGAACAACGGAATCACCTTCCCCGTCAGATTCAGACTCGAGGACCACGGAACACCTCCGGCGTTCGGGTTCCGGATTGGAGACCCGGAAACACCTCCGCCGTTCAGCTACGGGCTGAGAGACCACGGGAACACCTACGCCGTCGACTTCGGAGACACGGAACGCCTCCGCCGTCGGCCTCGAGGACACGGAACACCTCCGCATCGGCTTCGGGGTCACTGAACACTTCCGCGTCGGCTCGAGGACACGGAACACCTCCGGCTGTCGGCTCGGGGACACGGAACACCTCCCCGTCGGCTCAGGGACACGGAACACCTCCCCTTCGGCGACACGGAACACCTCCGCCGTCGCCGTCGGCTCGGAGACACGAAACACCTCCGCCGTCGGCTGCTCAGCCCCCCCCATAACCCACCCCGTAGCCCCCCCCCCTCAAGGGTCGGATTCCAGACGGCCCTCAAATCACCAACGGGAGGGCGGGAGAGGACCATGGGATGGGAGGGAGGGAACCTGAGTCTCGGAGCGGGGACTGGGGGCGTGAGTCTCGGAGCGGGGACTGGGGGCGTCGGGGTCGTGAGTCTCGGAGCGGGGACTGGGGGCGTCGGGGGCATGGAACGTGGGGCTGGTACTGGTCGGGTCGGGGGCATGGAACGTGGGGCCGGTACTGGTCGGGTCGGGGGCATGGAACGTGGGGCCGGTACTGGTCGGGTCGGGGGCATGGAACGTGGGGCCGGTTCCGGGGGCATGGATTGTGGGGCCGGTACCGGGGGCATGGATCGTGGCACTGGCTCGGGGGTCGGGGGCATGGATCGTGGCGCTGGCTCGGAGGTCGTGGACCTGGATCGGGGCGTCTGATCAGGAGTCATGGGCTTGGGTCGGGAGGCCGGGACGGGAATCTGCTGCGGCCCAGCGCGGGACATCTTGCGCTGCGACCGAGCGGGGTCGGGACGTCGCTGCGGCCCAGCGCTGGACATTGTGCGCTGCGGCCGAGCGTGGGGAGCATAGGTGGCCTGGAGTCGGACCGCAAGGTCCATTACCCGCTCCCAGTGTGAATCGCCGCCGGACGACCACGAAATGGCCTCCTCTGGGGACCATGTGGTGGGCGGCGGATGGTGACCCAGATGCCTACTGAGGGCTCCAGAAGGGGAGACAGAGTAGTACAGGTACCCAGCTGGAACCCCCGGGAGGACCTTTCCCCCATTACGGGCGGCCCGCTGGAGATTGCGTGGACCGCCCATTGCCAGACGGGTTCCCCTGAAGTCTTCCAGGGGAAAAAACTCTGCTGAGTCCTTCTTTGGTCGTGTCATTCTGTCACGGGTGCGGGTGGGAGGCAGGACTCAAAATGCAGACTTGCAGGAACAAAAGGACTTTAATAGTCAAAGGTCAAAAAATCCAAAAGGCCAAGGGGCAAAAACACACAGGCATGCAACTACGGATACCCACAACAAGGGACACGGACATGCGTGGCGAAAGACAATGATGCGACAAGTGACACAAGAGACACACGGCTTAAATACACAAGGGAGGTGCAGGTGATTGGACACAGGTGGAAACTATTAGACAATCACAGGGGATGACGGGACAAGGCAGGAAGTGAAGTTACCCGGGGACACGAGTGGCAGAAAACTACAAAATACAACAGGAAGTGAACCACACCGTGACAGGAAGAAACAAAGTTAGTGATGTGTATTAATGTTGATAATGACAGTAATAGTAATGGGACTAATAATAGTGTTGGAAGCAGTGTCAGCAGGGCCAGGGTCTAAATATAATAAAAGCTGCAAGCAGCATTGGACGGGTCCTCGCTACTACTAGATGTTGCAGCTTCTGCGGCCGTCGGAAAGAGTGTCGGAGAGTCAGTCGTCGTTAACCGTATGGAGCGACGCAAAATGTCATACATTATCAAACTTTCTCTTAAATCTCATTCACCAGCCTTCTAAATCAATTTCAGATAGTATTTAAAAAGGAAACTATAAATAGTTACATAATTCCACTTCAGGTTGATACCGCACATCCCCATGGTGTCACTCAGGGATAACCAGGATATTCTGATGTACCAATCCAAAATTAAAGCCTCTCAAAATGACCATACATGAGCCAAAATCTAAATCACAAGACTACATCTTGTCAATTTCAGATTAGATTTAAAAGGAAAAAATCTATAGTAACACAGTATTTCCACTTCAGGCAGAGAGTACACATCCCTAAGGTGTCACTCGGTGATAACCAGGGGCCTTGCGTAGATTTCTTACTGAAACATGGCGTACGATCAAACCCAAATGCCCTCCCACGCACAAAAATATCCGGATGTATCAATGTGTGCGAACGCGAATGTTGTCGTTCATTTAAACCGCTTTACGCAGAGAGAGAGTGCGTATGTGCGAGCGAGAGATCTGCGGTGTTGGCCGTTAGTTAATTTACTTGTTCTTAAATATGTTTAAACTTAAATAAATTATCTATACAAGTAGTTATGTCTCGTTGTATAAATTTGTCCTGTTATTGTGTCTAATGCGCAACCAGATATATATTCGAATATCTGTGCTTTTTTAAAGCGAATATTCATACGTCCTTTTTGAGCAATTTTGACAGCCCTAATCACCTGTAAGTGTCGCCAAAGAATCAACAGCTGTAGAAAGCCCCCACAGCCCCGAAGTTGGCGTCAGGCACTGCACATTTCCACGGTCATTTTGCTCTTGATACATCTGATCATTGACATGAAATAGTGCGTTCAACACTTTTTTGTGCGTACGCACCCTTTGTACATGAGGCCCCAGGACATTCTGATGTACCATTCTAAAAGAAGTTCATGCTATATGAGAAATATGGAGCAGATTAGATAAAGTATGGTCGAGTTAAAACAACTTCAATTTTCATGGCGAATGGTGTTTTTTTTTTAAATGCTCTCTACACACATAGTTTGGAATTCTTTCTGGCAAAATGCATTTTTTAGAGCCTAAGGTCTCAAGATCACACTGCGCGAATTTGAAAAGAATCAGTTTTAATCCCTGGGAGGAGTTTGGTCTTTTACAACTCTAAAAAATCATGAAAATACGCTAAAAATGCAGATTTACGATTAACTGCAGCGCCCCCTATTCTTCAAAATGGCGGTAACTCTAGTTAGGCATATTTGCATACCATGATTGACTTTTTTGTAGAGCATGTCCCAGAGCACGTGTGCCAAATTTCAAGTCAATCGGGCATCGGGGGGGAACTGGCCTAGTGTGGTACTATAGGGTGCGCTATAGGGACATTTCTTGATACCCAAATGTGAGATCCCAAAATTATCAAATTTTTCACCAGTTCTGATATGCATTCTAAATTGAACATTTTTTTAACATGATAAAGGCCTCTAAAAGGGAAAATTCCATGAAATACAATAGGTTCCTCTACGACTAGTCGTAAACATTTTTGCGTTTGAATTTTGGCAGGCCCTGACTGCACATCCCTGGCTTTGTCTCCGCTGTCAGAAACCTCTGCCACATCCAGTCTTGCTGTCTGCCTTTACTCGCCACAAGCCGTAGGCAGGACTGCCAGAAATGGAAATCAAATATCTGCCTCATTTACAGCTAATTTGGCATTGTACTGAAAATATTACAACAACAAATATACATTGTAAATAGAGCTGTCCTTTCTGTTTCCTAGGTAACCGAGACGAGGACGGGCCCTCTCGGCTGCAGTAACTATGACAGCTTGGACTCAGTTAGCTCCGTGTTGGTGCACAGCCCGGAAAATAAGATCCACCTAAAGGGTAAGGCTGGGTAACACACACGTATATGCCATTGCTCAGTATGTAATCTCACGTCTGTGCACGCACACACACATCCCTGAGAAAGGATTTGCAGAAGGATTTGGACACATGCACCACTCCATCTGCCACCTGGCAGGAACTCTGACTTCTTTTT